TTAAGCATATAATGGATTGAATTTTTTTTTGTTTATCAATGGAATCTTTGGCTTCAGAATCCTTTACAGATAGATAGAATTATGTTCTTGCTACTAGGATTCTTGCTTCAATCATATTGCTGCTTTGTTGCGTTAAGTGCATAGTAGAGATTCAAGCGCCACAAAAGCTCTCTGTTAGTAACTAAGCTCCACAAAAGCTCTCTATCAGTAACTAATCCTACTCTTTTATTCTCTCCGTTCACTTTAGTTGTCTACTTTGAACTTGATGAAATCGCAACTGCTCCTCCTGCCTAGCTAGGTAATAGAGAAGCTCTAGCATTGATCAATAGGGAGCCTTTGGTTGCAATTTTTTTTGGGATTTTATTAAATATTGCAGTAAGTAGATATGTTTAAATTTTGTGAACTGAAGGGGTAGAAAGGATATTCATCGAGTCAACTTCGTCTTGTCAAGTGAAAGGGAAGCCGACATACTGTTATACAGGTGTAAGATGGGCTGCATATGTCCAATCTACAGGGGAAGTAGATGATATATGGTGCAGGTGGATGGTTTGGTGCTGTTATTTTAATTGTCACATAAAAAGAAAAAGTTAAATAAGAAGAATAGATCACTTCCTATTTTTCTTTGCGTAGTTGGACCATATGATTTGGTGGTGCTGTTTACACTCATAAGAGAGCAGTTGTAAGATACTTGGTAGATCAGTACATAATGGATAGTGATAATGTTAGCGATAGTTGAATTTTGAGAATGACATAATAATTTCCCACTGTATTTGACCTTGTGTTGTGCAGGAGGAGAGGCATGTGATGAACAGCCACTCGGAGAGATAAATACGATCTGGGTGCTGGAGATGTTTAAAGTAAAGCTTGGCTTGTTTGATGGGGTATTGTCCTGAAAGTTGTCGTGGTGAAGCAGACCAAGGCCAAGCAGGTCGAGAATAACAGCCATCCACTTGGTAAATGTTGCATCCAACTGCTTGTTCTTTTGACACGTAGTTCACATGATATGCTTCAGTTTTAAAATCATAATTCTAATGTGTTTTTCATTCTTCTTTGTATGTGACACCCGCATCGAGACTTATTCGAGTGAAAGGGAAGCAGAAGTAGATATACAGTGATGGGGCCAAAGCCTAAATTGCAGCAGCAGAGCCCAAAAAATGTGATTTACTTCTTTCCAATTTATTGCTTTAGTTGTAATTATTTGCGTTAATCTAACTTTGGCTTTAGTTTGATTTAATTAGATTCTCCTAAATATACCTAATAATTCTAATCAAATATACCTTATTTTCAAGGGATACATTGCTTTTCTTTACTTGAAATAACATTTTTTATTGATTAATGTTTTCAGTCGATAACCTAATTATATTGATAAAAATTAAAGTTTTAGTCAAGTGTCATATTTTTCAATCAACTTTTT